GCAAAAGCAGGATGATGGTTCTCTAAGTATTAAGAAGAATTCTTTCAGGTGCCTGGTCAAGGATTGGAACATAATTAAGTTTGTTGCAATTTAAGAATGGTTATTGATTATTGAATTGAATAATGGGTTAAACTTCCAATAAGACAATGCTATAATTTGTAGAATCTCAAGCATWTTTCTTGGATAAAAAAGAAGGCAAATGTTTGAGATTGATAAATCCAAGCATGTTATTTGGCAGGGATGGGGTCTAAAGGTTTCGTTTGGAATTATGATTTGTATGGGTTGTGGTTGTACAATGTTATAGCAGTTTTATTGGAGCAAGTTTAAGCAAGACTAGTRATCCCTTAAGAATGATGGTTTGTGTGGACATGAACCAATGAAAAGAATTTTCAGATTTTTTTGTTGGATGTAAAGGTGAAGTAAAATTATGTCATTTGCTGTATTTGAGACTTTACATTTTAGGGTTGTGGAAAGAAGTGGCATTGACACTACTACTAACAAGTTAGGATTGAAGAAGGATTTACTTTTGGCAAGGTAGATTTGCAGATTTCCARTGGAACAAGATGAATTTTGGCATCAAGTTTGTTGCTTATAAGTTTCACATGGTCAAAGCAGGATGGTTCTCTAGGTATTAAGGAGAATCAGAATTTTTTTTAGTACTTAGTGTTGGATTTCCTATTAAAGTAGTAGAGTGGGATTGTGAAGGTTTGTCTGTTCTATGACATGAAAAGCAGTAGAGTTGAATCTGAATAGATCTAATTTAACGATTCAATCTAAGGAGACAAGGAAAAAATCAATCGAAGGATGATTTATATAGGTTAGATGATACATGTGTTTGTTTAATTTAAGTAGCTTTATTGAATTAACAGTATAGTTTAATTGTTTTCTTTTTTAGCTTATTCTTATGTTTGGTTATATCATTTGATCTACTATCTCGAACCCTCTAAACCAGCTATATTTTTTATTCATCTGCCACTAGATATGCTTCTAGCTTTACTATTTCTATTCATTCTTCTAGAATTTTGATTCAGTTACCATGCAAATTCCATTGATTGATGTATTTTTCTTTGTTTGATGTTGCTTCCTCTAAGAGGAGAATATCGTAGGCTCAATGGGATTCCCATTTCCAGAGCCCYATTTATTTATAGAAGGAAGAAAAAACTAAACATTTGGAAGATGATGTAATCTGATCCGACTACACCAAATAACTGGCAAGGTAATGTTCTTTATCCTCACTATGTTTTATGATTTGATAAGATGTTTGATTTGTTACCAAGGAAGTTTTAATGTTTAATAAAATTCACTTTTAACAAATTTTAGGTTAAATTATAAGTTCGATTCGTAAACTTTGAAGGTTGTGGCTAATAAATTTCTAAATTTTTAATGCAGTGTTTGAAGGTATCTAAAAAGTTAATTTCTATGTCTAAGACTTGAGACATTTTGAATTTAATAAAAATAGGGGATATGTCCAAGACTTGAACCTGAGATGGAAGGGTTACAAACTAGTTATACACCCACTACACCACTAGGAACTTTTTAACATAAAAACTACTATTACGAACAATATTTTTTTTTCCCAAACCGGACGACTATATTTTCATTTTAAAAAAAATTGACTGGCGCCACGTCAGATGGTCGTCTCTTCAAGCATCACGTTTTTTACACCAGCATTATTTTTGGAATAAGTTTYCAAAGTTGTATTTTTTCCATCTTTTCTAATAAATCTGTATTATTTTAAAAATAAGTTTAATTAAAAACAATATTAAAAAAAAATCCGGGAAATAAGTGGGTCTCAAAAGTAATATTTCTCATGCCAATTTTCTACCAGGCAAGGCCATGGGAAAGAAAGACCAAAAACTTGAATAAACAAATCTTTATTTCACCTTTGAACAAATGAATTTTGATCTTTATTTATTATAAGGAGGGTGGTTAGTCATTATCATGAAGCCAAATTTTTATCAAAATTTCCCTTCCATTATTTGAACCACAGTATAGGAGCTCCTTCAAACCTCTTCTTATCTGACTTTTTTTATTTCAATATTAATTTTTTGTTTAAATACTACTTTTGGTCCATTCTAATTCATATATTTTCAAGTTTTTTCTTTTGAACATTCAATCGGTTCATTTTGATCTCTGTACTTTTGATAAGTAATCTTTTATTTCGATTGAGATTTTATTAACATTTCACTCACTATATTTTTTTAAAATGCATCCAATAAAATTGTATTAAGAAGTTTTTTGAAATTTGTATTAACATTTTGTAAATAGGTATCAAAGTAGTCGTTTTTTTTAAAGTAGATGGAAGTAGATATTTTGATAGTACAAAACTAAAATGAATAAAAATTTCAAAGTACATGAGTGGGAGTGAACCAAAAGGACCAAAAATAATATTTAGACCTAATTTTTTTAATCCATGAAACTTTGAAATTGAAGTGTCTTTTGGTACGTTTTTCTTTTCAAAACTGCCATAGATTTTGCTGCTGCCTTTTTTTTTTTTTTAATCTTTTTACAATTCGTATAAAGTAATGATTAAGTGGAGTATATTGAGGGCCTGATCCTCAATAATTTTAATTCTCATTCATTGTATCTTCTTGGACAAGAGAGGTCTACCATTTTGTTGGGCAGAATCTCTGAAACTGTAGGAGATTTCAAGCATTGTTTAATATCTTTTTTAGTTTTTTATGCTATAAATCTTTTTAAAAATTATTTTACATCTCTTTGAAACTCCGGAAACTAACTTTAAGACCAAGTTTATGACTAAATATTACTGTTGTAATGACTAATTTGTGAACAGTGATTTTGGAAGCCTTTTACAGATTATTAGGATTGAATGAATATCTACTTGGCATTGTCTTTTTCCTTTCTTCTTTTTGAAACTTGTATTCGGATTATGTGGTCAAGTAGTGAAAATTTTGAAAATAATATTTTTAATATTTTCAAAGTTGGTTAGATTTTGAATTTGAAACTTTGAAATGTAAAACTACATTAAAAAGATAAGAAAAAAGGTAAATATATGATTTTCATATTATAAACACATTTTGTTTTTGTTTTTGTTTTTGTTAGAATTTGGGTGGTAAACATCTTAATTTACAAATATTACTAAATACTTAAAACAATTTTTTAAATTGAGATGTAATTTTTGAATTTGCTACCAAATATATAACTGAAGTTACTAAAATACATGACTAAAATTACTGAAATTATTGAATATGTTTTTTTTTTTCATATTTCTACTTTTAAATCACCGACCAACTGCGATCTAATTTGTGAATGGTACTTTTGAAAGCTTGACAGTTTCTTCAAAACATACATCTTCGGCAGAGAGAGAGGATTCAAGGGCCCAATTTTCCAGAAGCAAAAAGTAGCCTTTGACAAAATTACAATGGAATGTCTACTTTTCTTCACTCTGAATTTTCGAGGAAAATACCCCAATTGAATGGATGTCCTTTTGTAGTTGTATTTTCCACTTTACATAAGGGTGTTGGCTTTGCTTTGAACTAGAGTTATAAGGATTTTATTCTCTCTCTGAATTTTTGACAAATTAGGCACAATTTGTTTTCGGACAAATTATTATGTTGTTTCTCCCCAAATTATTCGGTATGTTATGAAAAATACATTTTGAATTTTTAGTCAATTTTTAAAATAGGAGTTAGTTTTTATGAACTAATGGGCTATTAGTTAATTTTATATTTAAATTCATAGTTTCCAGCATTCTTTTTCTAGAAGTTGGGAGTTTAATCTCTCATCTTCGCATTTATTATATTAAAAAAATTTAATGGGTCATTAAAAGTATTATCGAATTTTTAAACTTTAAATACGTTTGAATTTTTAGATGTTTTATTTATCTTATGTGATTTCCCCAAAGTTATTTCAATTTAGGTATTTACATTTTGTAATCTGGGGCCCGCTCTTTCTTCACCAATCAATCACCACAGGTACCGCTGGAATCTTCGCCCATGTACCCCGGAAAAATATAATAATTAATTAATTAATTAAAAAGCCATACGAAATGTGGGGCCGCGCCATACTCTACGGATGAGAACCAGCCATGCATGTTTGCCGCGTTTCATCGCAACTTAGCGCCTAATTTGAGGCCGTACACGTGTAACGAAAACTTACTATTAATTTACATGCTTTTAAAATATACTAAATGATGTCTAATTGTTTGGAAATTTCTCAATTTCATCTATAATTATTTAAACGAACGACTCTATAATCATTCTATTGAAAAATAGAGCTMCCAATGAAAACACACCGCATATTATTACAATGCTAGTTTAGTTTAACGATAATTGATATATATTTTTAATTAAGAAATTATGAGTTCAATGGTACTTAAATTAAAAAATATATATATATCTTATTATATATTAATATATTTAAACACACGTGCCTAAAGATGGATGTGGATCTTATGTGTTAAATAACTATTTTTGGTACAATAAATTAGAGCACGAGAGTTTGAAAATCTGATCTCAATAGAATAAATAGATATAATTATTGTTAAACTATTTTCATGTTGGCACGCTAGATAATACCCTAGTGATATGTTCAATGTGTTTATAAATATAACAATTTTATCACAATCAACTTTTGTTTTAACAAATTAAAAGAAAAACGACCTAATTGAGAATCTTTAGTAAGGTAAAATGACAAATTTTAAAAAGTAATAGGCTAAATCTAGAATTGCCCAAAGGTCAAGGACTTGTTTAGGTGTTCTTTATTTATTTATTTTTTCCATCGCACTGTGAGTGATACAATTCTGCTGCTGCTGCCGCCATGAGTACGTGACACGTCAGCGGAATGGTTGCCGAGAGGATATAACGAAATCCAATGAGATCTCGAAGTTGACTTCACTGTGACGGTAGCGGGTGAGAATAGCGTAATGGCGACGAAGAGAGGCAAGGAGTGTCAAGGAATTTGGAGGCAAGTGCGTGGGTATTTTAGTAAATTCAAATATCTGGAATCTACCTGCTTCTTCGTGGGTGACTATTAAAGCAACTCTGGTGGTTCTGTTACGTGTGCGCTAAGCGAAAGCCAAGTCAGTCCCACTTCCCTCCTCCACGGCTCTCTCACCTCTCGAATCGGAAATTTACTTCGAAAATCTGTCGGCGAAGAACCGCAGAGAAAATTGGAATTCATAATTTCATTCTTCGGCTTCTCCTTAGGGTGCGTTGTTGAACTCGAACGAGGTGTGAGCAATTCTCGCTTGGAGATGTCAGAGGTATTTGTTTGTGTTTGTTCTGTGAAAATCCGAATTTAATGGGAATTTTACTGATTGAATTGAATTAGATGAGGTAGGAGTTGCCGCTGCTGATACTGGAACTGGTGGATGGGAGTTTTTGACAGAGGAAATTGAGTCAAAATGCGGAAATCTTTCAAGGATTCCCTTAAGGCACTGGAGGCTGATATTCAGTTCGCCAATACCTTGTAATCTCTCTATAGGCTGTTCCACTTTCTTATTATATCATATTTCTTAACAAATTTTGTTACAGTCGCTCTGGAGTCTTCGAGAACTGCTATTGCAATGTTTGCATTTCTCATTTTTGGAAGTTGTCCGCGGTTTGATAGATTTCTGTGTTCGGAACAGCATCGAGTTTCAATATTTTGTATCTGATGATCTATATTTTCTGCATAGGTTAGATGGCACTCGTGTTGATTTCGTTTCTGTTAGAGTTTGGAGTTCTGGAAAATTGTTCCGAAAATAGTTCTCACTTATTGGCTGTGTTCGAGATTTATGCAGTCTGAAAGAGCTGTGAGGTTTAGGTTTTTTATATCATGATCTGTATGTTCCCTGTCTCTTAGTAGATTTGACGTTAGTCACTTCAATCTTATTTCATTTACAATTGGACTTGTTCTGCTCGCACTCAAATACATTGTTTCGTGCTCTAAGATCTCTTATACTGTTTATGGAAGATTCATTTATTAATGTTGTGTATTTGATTAATCTGAGTGTATACATTTTCTTCCTTTTCTGTGGGTCATCATGTATCTTAAAAGGGTTTGCGTACTGTCACATTTTCTTAGTCGTTTTGTGAGATATCTTCACTTCTTAGGATTGCATTGGCAACTGCTTAAATTGTTCTACTGCAATGATTTTTTTTTTTTAATTGCAAACTGGAGATTTTTGTTCTTTTAAGTTTGCACTTGTTCCAGCTGAGGTTTTTTTAATTCATAAACGTTGAAAAATTCCTTCTTCCCTATCAACGTTTACTCTCTTAGGCCATATATTTCTTTGTTTCTCTTTTCTGATCCATAAGCATTGAAAAAACACTAAAACTTTGAACAGGGCTTCTGATTATCCCAGGGAATATGATGGTGCATGCCTTCAGATGAGATTATCCTACAGCCCAGCTGCACAGTTCTTTCTCTTTTTCGTGCAATGGACTGATTGTCATCTTGCTGGTGCATTGGGTTTGCTCAGAATTCTAATATATAAGGTACTGCAGTCTGCATTACAAATGTTGCACTAGTGCCTTCTCCAGTCTGAGTGTGGTGATTGAAATAACTTCAAATTGACCACTAAGGATAAAAACCTGATGAAGTAGCTGATACTGCTTGGATTTACATTTATCTTGTCAAGCCTGTGAATGTACTGAATCTGTTCCAGGCATATGAAGACGGGAAGACTACCATGTCTATTCAAGAAAGAAAGGCTAGTCTCAAAGAGTTCTATGGTAAGTGGACTTGAAGACAAAAGCTGCCATTTCTTATACTTGAGGCGTATAAAAATTTGGAGTCTTGCGAAACCTATTTTTTAGTTTTGCAAATACAGGGGTGATCTTTCCATCTTTATTGCAACTTCAAGGAGGAATTAATGACATAGAAGACAGAAAACAGAGAGAAGTTTATGCTGCCAAATACAAAAGAAAAGATCAATTGGATAGAGGAAAGATCACTGAAATCGACTTGGAAAGAGAGGAGGAATGTGGAATTTGCATGGAGCTAAACTGCATGGTTGTATTGCCTAGTTGCAATCATTCAATGTGCATGAAGTGTTATAGAAGTTGGTAAGCTTTCTGCTGTTTTCATGTTGCCATCAAATACCAAATGACGGAGACTTATTTCTTTGCAAAAAGTGACTGAATTCTTTGGAGCTGATGTTTGCAACTTGTTATCTTGGTTTCAGGCGCACTCGGTCTCAATCATGTCCCTTCTGCCGTGACAGTCTCAAGAGAGTCAACTCTGGAGATCTTTGGATCTATACCGGTAGCAGTGAAATCGTCGACTTGTCCTTCATCTCTAGGGAAAATTTAAAGAGGCTTTTCATGTTCATTGATAAGTTGCCCCTCATTGTTCCAGATCCAAAACTCATCTCTTATTATCTGAACCACTATTAGACATTTCCAGGCTTGGACTGGAAATAATTTGTACATAAAGACTCTATTACCCAAGTTATTGTCCATAATTCTTATCAGTATAACATGCACATCTAAATTTAATGCTAATGTGTTCTCGTTTTGTATAACCTCTGTTATTTAATTTGCTTCTAATTAGCAAAAGATCTGCTATTACTTGCATGCTGAAGCTAACTCAAGTAAACTGAGCTCATTACTATCTATATCTTATCTAGGTTCTCTCAGAGACTAACTTTCCTCCAGGGCATTTGTTAACCTGAAAACAAATATGGGGTAGGGACTGTATAGATAGATGCTGTAATTGTAAAAGTCGCAGTTCGCATTCCAAAACCAGTTCGATTAATACAATAACAATCTATAGGATGATGGCATCGGGTTACGGCCTCAGTCACCAGGTTCTCAATCCTCAACTTCTTCCAGACATGGTATTGATAGACTACAAGCTTTGTAACAGCTTCCAATTTTTGAAATTTTTAGTTAATTGGGCAACACTATGACATAGAAGGAACTAACCATCTTAAATCTTTTAAATGCAGGAATTTTTGGAACAACCGCGTGTAGGAGCAATGGCAAATGCCTTGAAAGGATTATACTATTTTAGCAATAGGACAGGCACTTCGAGCATTGAATACCATGGACGCCGGTCCCATTCGAAGCAAACTTCTCGACTAACATAGAGTATTGAATTGGATTTTATTCAATTTGTTCGCAACTGACTACTAAACTGTAATGATCGAGAATTTAGAGATGGGATTTTCACTTTCCTTTTTGTGGGTGAAGCAGAAGACGGGGAGCATCAGCAATCATGAAAGCCCAAACCAAAGGCGTCGGAAGCCCGACCACTGTCCATTTCCTAGCAAAGGTGCAGGTTTTTACTTTCCTTCGCATGTCCTAGCAACTTTCCTTTGATCTATTTTCCATGTATTTATAGATGTATATTGAAAATTTTCACTTCATAATTCAACTAGAAAGACATCACTTACCCCTCTAATAATAGATGGAAGTTTGAACCCCCACCGAAACTAGGATGTCAACAATATTAACCAAATTAGAAATAGCATAACGCCTTCTAGAGCCACCTTAAGTGAGCAATAATACTAAAATGTCTTAGAAATAAGAACACTAAAACATGAGAATGGCAAAAATTATCTTTTCTGTTGTAACTTTAATGTCAGCGTTCATTACATCTATAATATGAAATTTGTCATTCTTATTCTGGTACTGTTCTGATTAGCATAAATCAGTGCAACACTATAACATCAAACAATAATTTTTGCATCTCTTAAACATGAGAATTATTTTGCACAATTATTTTTTCTCGGTAACATTTAGAAAAATAGGAAATGCTAACATTAGAAACTAGGATCCCCCGAATATAATTTTCATTGAATCTTGGATGGGAAAATTGTAGTTTCAAATTTTAATTAACCAGGTCAGATGAGGTTGGCTATATTACCATATGATATCATAGGACAAATATGCTGTCTGGCCAGCAAACTGAACAGATACAATCACAGCCAGAGCAATCGTAATTTGATAGGCACCAAAGAAACCAGATAAGGGGAAGATAAGGCACTGAGACTTTTTTCCCATCAGATGGATACACTTTCTTCATCTGACGGTCACAATTTCGTCACCCTGTGAAAATCTCCAAAGAGTGATCAAGTTTCCACTTCCCAATTCCATATAATAACTTCAATTACCATTACATCATCTACACCCCTCGAGCTTCTCTTTGCCATGGCTGCCACCACAAGCGCGGCTGCTGCATCCTCCTTCATTGGGACTTGCCTCCCCGTTGTCCCTCCAGGTCGGGTCAGGTGCAAGCCCGATTCGCATTCAATAAAAAAAATACCCCACAAAAGAGAGCATCAGAACCCAGTTCCGATCGTCGACTGTGGTACCCTGGAGCCATAGCACCCGAGTGGCTCGGCGGTAGCTTGGTGGGTGATTATGGGTTCGACCCATTTGGTTTGGGCAAACCAGCAGAATACCTTCAGTTCGACTTGGACTCTTTGGACCAGAACTTGGCTAAGAATGTTGCCGGTGATGTGATCAGTACCCGGTTTGAGAATGCAGATGTGAAATCGACCCGTTCCAGCTATTCAGTGAGGCATTTGGGTTGCAGAGGTTCTGTGAGTGCGAGCTCATCCATGGAAGGTGGGCTATGTTGGCCGCGCTCGGTGCTCTCAGTCGAGTGGCTCACCGGTGTTACTTGGCAAGACGCCGGAAAGGTACTTAAATATTGTTAAGAGTATTAATAGGAAAGTAGTGAGAATATTATTTAAGATACTCTGAATTACAAGTTTTCTCTCACGCTTTTTTCAGTTCAATAACTTATCACATGCAATCCTGAAAACTTTTGGTACATATGAGGCTCATATTAGTAGAACGATATTTCTAATTACTAAATCTTGGTTATGTTCACGGTTTTTGATAGAGGGAGTTAAAAGATTTAGAATTTGGCAGTTCTTGGAAGATAGACCGTATAAGAGATTCCTCGGGCAATGGGCATTGCTTGAGAAATTTGTAATTTCCTTCTTAATAGTATATTACCATTTCTAGTTTATGTTGATTTCTACTTCAAATTCTGGTTAAATTCTGTGAGATTTATTTAGTATTATAAATTTAGGCCCACGCTGAAAATGGATCATTTTGACAGTGGATAGAGTCCTCTATAAATTTTCAGAATAATTAGACTTAATTGCGAACCTGATGTTTCAGGTAGAGCTGGTGGAAGGATCCTCATATCTTGGGCAGCCACTTCCATTCTCTATATCGACATTGATATGGATCGAAATTCTGATGATTGGGTACATTTGAGTTCCAGAGAAACGCCAAGCTTGACCCAGAGAAGAGACTTTGCCCCCGGGGCAAGTACTTCGATCCACTCAGCCTGGCAACCGATCCCGAGAAGGCAGCGGCACTTCAATTGGCAGAGATCAAGCATGCTCGCCTCGCCATGGTTGCATTCCTCAGCTTTGTTGTTCAGGCTGCTGCCACTGGCAAAGGCCCGCTCGATAACTGGGCGTCGGGCGACTCACTTGAGTGACCCACTCCACACCACCATTATTGATACATTCTCTTCATCCTCTTAAATTGTTCAATCTCCTCGGTCTAGCTCTGGTTTGCGATGATATGGGCTGGGCAAATTATTTTTTATGTAATGTAAATTATTATGCTCGAAACTGTATTCCTAAGGAAGAATATTAATTGGTTCTTCGGTGAAGCGTGACATTTTGGCATTTCATAGCCTTTGTTTGAAGATGACACATAATATGATCGAGTGGTTGAAATGTTTGAAATTTAAGTAAAAAAAAAAAATGTAGTGGAAAAAATATGTATGTTTTTTGGCAAAGTGTATATATAAAAGGATATTCGAGCTTGGCAAAAATAGTGCAATTTAAAAAAGAAAAATTATTTATTTTTTTAGAAGTGATTTAGTTAATTTTATGTATAACGTCGATAATTGTAATAGAAGTTTTATTTTTTTAAAAATAAAAGCAACAAAAATCGAAGGCACGAGCACGAATAAAATGACAGATTAGATGGATTACCAGGCATTATTACATAACATTATTTAGAATGTCTAAAAAATTCAACTATGCAAATATATCTTGGTATAAGATTCAACTTTGTTCTAACTTCAAAGTAACTTTCTTTTTTTTCCTTTTTCTTTTTTCATTGAGTTCCACAATTGGTTAGGCAAAAGAATTTTATACTTGTATATACGTGAGGGACACTATCATCAATGTTCAAAGTGAACAATATTATATATTATGAAGACCTGTAATTGTAGTCCATTATCTCTGACAAGTTCAACAATACAAGTATAAAGATTAGAACTTGTTCTTTTTGAAAATATATTTATCAATCAATTAAGCTAAATATAGTTTTTCATGGTCAAAAGTTGCATTAAAATAACCTGTCAATCATGACAATACAAATGTTGAATTTTCATCATGCTTATTACTTTTTTTTTTATAATTAATCTTCTAATGTTTATTATTAACTAGATATTTAAAATTACTTTTTCTATAAATATCATCACAAATACGAGATAAAATAAAATAATCTCTACTCCCTCTGGAGTAAAGTAGAATTTACATTGGATTAGTATGGACTTTTTTTTAGCACAATATATAATGTGCGTATGCGAATTTCAATACACAACTTTTTAACCAAAGACAAATGTGTTAATCAATTGAATTATATACGGGTATGAATTACTTTGCCAAGTAATTTTTTTGTTTATGTGTATATATTTTGGGAAGAAACTGTCTATAAATTAAACCTGATTTGATGCAAGCGCAATTAAGTAATTTTCAAAAGATTAAATGTTTAACTTCTATTTTTCTTTGCCGGTTGTGTTCGTTCGCGCCTTCGTCACTGTGTTAGGGTTTTGCTGTGAGGCAGTGCAGTGAACTCAAACGGACTCGGCCAACACTCTCTTCTCTTGAATCGTGCCATTTTTCTCCGCGTGGATTGCCCACCATTTCCTATCCTTATATATTCTTGAAGGAAGACTACAACACGCATAATTGGGCCGCTCGCCGGAGGATTTGCGGTGTCCGCGTGTTGCGTATTGTCAATTTTCAGCCAAAATCGGCGACTTCCATCAGGTAAATTTTCGTTGAAATTCCTCCGATCAGAGTTCGACATTTATGCGCTTTACTTTTATCGTGTTCCGAATCGACAAAAGACTGTTAGTTTGCCCTAGCTTCGAATTTTTTTGAGATCTTATTTCATTATAGATTTTTCCATGGTGCAGGTGCTGATCTCTTACTTCGCACTTGACATGCATCCATTTGGTATATTTAGGAAATGGCTAATCGGAGTTTAGTGTGGGGCGTTGCGAAGAAATGTTTCACATTTGGGATTATAGGCGTTACTGTTTCAGATCGTTATGCAAGTATTGTCCCTCTCCGGGGTGCTTCAATGTCTCCCACTTTCAACCCTAGAGCGACTTCTCAGGCGGGTGCAGTTACTGGTAATTTTCTGAACGAACCATTTTTGTAGTAGCAGGAATTGGGTACCATCTGATGCTTGGGTTTGGGTTCAGGTGACTACGTACTGGTTGAGAAATTTTGCCTTGAGAAGTACAAGTTTTCTCCTGGTGACGTGATCGTTTACTGGTTAGTTTCCCTCCATCGCTGTTAATATAGTCATCTGTATTGTGTTGTTCTGAACGTTTATCTTGTGTTTTGTGGTATTAGTTTTGAATTTCAATGTAGGCAAGATAATTTATCTGGGTTGGCCCTTCTTGATTGAATTTTGATCATAAGTAGTCTGTACATCCACTTGATTAAACATTTCACGTGTAGTGGACATATCACATTCAAACTCCCATTTATTAACTTCCCAATGCCATACATATGAAAATTAAAAATAAACAGAGAACTGGAAAATTAGAAGAGCTCAACCATGACTTTCATATTGGTTATTCTCTGTGAAAGAACCGAATACTGTGTCATAGGTCCTTAGTCATACTTAATCGATCTATCTCAAATTGTACGTAAATTGCTTTTACTTTTTTTTTTTTTAATTTAAAGCAACGTTGAGATCATAAAATGTTTTTCTCACCTAGATTATATGTTTATACTAGAGAAACGCAGAACATTGTCATTTTTACAGTCTTGTTTCTTGCAAAATGTTTTTGATCCACACTTCCTAACTTGTCACAAGTTTACTACTCTCAGATGCTTGAGCAATTTGTATAAATTTTTTCCTCCGGACGTTGTTGATCTATTGCAGCTCCCCTAGTAATTACAAGGAGAAACATGTGAAAAGAATTATTGCCTTACCAGGAGATTGGGTTGGAACTCGTCAAACATATGATGTTGTAAAGGTTCCAGAAGGACATTGTTGGGTTGAGGGCGATAACGCAGAATGCAGCATGGACTCGAGATCTTTTGGCCCAGTAAGATACCATCTACTTGGTTAGCATAGCATTGTGCTTCTTTTTGGGTGTTCTGTAGCGTCATACTTTTCAATGTTTAAAACTAAGTTACCGTATGAAGTAGCATTTTCAGCATAAACTCAAATATCATTTTCATGAAATGTTTTAGTGAAAAATTCTGACCTTTCTGAGTGCAACTCCTCTGTTGATGGATGTTTTATGCTTTTTACTTGACATGCCTGATCCAGCCTGACTGATGTAAGCTTTTTGCTTGCAGATACCAATGGGTTTGATTCAAGGGAGGGTGTCACATATCGTATGGCCACCTCAAAGAATTGGTGCTGTCGAGAGAAAATATCCTCAGGGGAGAATTAAGTCCTAATTTTACTAATACTAAAGCTCATAACCAGTTTTCTATGATCCCCCCTATTTGTGGCCTTTTGCTTCTTAGGTAGAAGTTTTCAGAAACTCGAGGCCTTTCCTGTAGCATTATTATTCTCTCTCTCTCTCTCACTCTCTATCTCTCTCTCATGTTATTTTTTCTTTATAACATACATTATTTACTTTCTTGGGGTATTTTCAATGTAATGCCCATGCTATAAGAAACCAACATTTTTAAGAATTGGCTCCTACGGGTTGGATTAAAGCAATTATGGAAAGCATTCAACTGTAAGGATGAATCGTAAAAGTAAATTTATTTTTCCTTAAAACCCACAATTTTGTGCTTCAAATTAATATATTCTTGTAGATGTTACAAAGGGCTCATTCCTTTTATTTTTATTTCCTCTTTTTTAATTAAAAAATATAATTGTATTTGGTAACTAGTATTTGTTCTTATTTTTTGTTTATCAGAAGAAAGAAACTTTGATTTTGTTGGAACGGAACCAAAAATTAGAAACTTTTTCTTTCTGTTTTTTTTTTCCTTTAAAATTTCTATATAATTTTGAAAATTGTTAAAAAATGAAGGCTGGAACACTGATTTTATAGCAAGAACGATCTAAATTATTTTTACTTCAAAAATTTATATTATTTACAGTTAGATTTGCACATATTTTTTGTAATTTGGTTTGGACGATACGCTGGGCCCGATGCTGCAGGCCCAGTTTAATTATTTTATTGGACCGGCATGTACGACCGAGGAGGCCCAAGTCCAATTCTGGCGGGTCTTTTCGAGACTCCCTGGAGAGTTGGCGGCAATTTCGCAGTTGAACTTTAATCTTTGACGTCGAACCGAGTTTCGCCGCAGGTACAGAAATCGAGAGGCTGTTCTCCTCTCATTTCTCACTTCAAAACCTGTAACGGATTTTGATCTTTTCAGTTTTCAGAAGACGATCTCCGATTTCAGGAGTATGAGGAATCTGCAGGCTCAAAGTCCTCGTGGTCGCTCCTCATTTTCCGCTGGATTTTCTTCTCGAAATCACAGTTTTAGGCTACGACTACAAGCAGTTGAGTTGAGTTCTCCGTTCGTTTCCTATACCCTGTATGATGAAATCGATTGTTCTGTATGTCTTACTTTCCACTTTATGGTGAATAATTTGCCAATGTTTAGCGTTTGAATCAATTCTTAGAGCTTATGTGAGAATGTGCAGATTATTTTCGCCTTTCCTGTGTACGCTTTCAGTGTTTCTTCGAAGAGAGATAGTAAGCTCACTCTACATTTGTTCCTTGAATTAGATCATTTAGATTTCAGTTCAGTATATGAACTTGGGATTTCCGATTTGATGATTTACTATGTTCTTGAATCTTGATACTGCTCTCTGTCGATTCGCAAGTTCGATACAGAAGACAGAAGCACCACTGACCATGACTGATAGTGATACCACCGAATTTCCGGATTTAGAACCAAATTGTGGCTGCATTTCGGAAGTAAGTAACTAGTTCTTTCTAGTATCAGTTGAATTGTTCGTTTCAGGTCGTTGTTGATATTCCTCTACTCTAGATATATATTTTTTTTGCAAAGGTCTACTCTAATTTTCTTATTTGGATGTCCTTGCTCTCAATTGTTGAACCTTCTGAGCTCTGATTACTAATTTCACCATTAGCTGGTCTTTACTTCTCTGGTAAATAGTAATCCTGTCACCAAATCTTGATATGTGGGCCGCTTCTGTTCAAGGCTTTGAGTAGAATCTCTGTTCTCCGTATACACCATGTGGAATAGTGTGGATGTTCGAAATTGTTGTCGTTGGCGTCATTGTATTGTTGGTTCATTTCATTTGAATCCTTGCATCAAGGCTAACAAGAAAAGCGACCTCTCTGAGACTCAGAGATCTTTTCTTCTGTGACCAAGTAGGCAGCAATAACTGTGAAGACTTGATCCCTATGGACATTACGGCATATGTTTGTGCTGCTCGCCAGCATTCTAACTTTCCATATTTTGATGAATGGCCACATCCAGAAATGATGAGGTGACAGTTGGCGCTAAACGTTCTTATTAGGATTAGAATGGTTGCAACTTCAAGTCACCAGGACTTGTTTTGGGAGATTGAGTTCATAACTATTTTTTCCTTTTGTTTTTTAAATTATTTTCAGAATTCTGATGGTACAATAGCTCGTGTGGTAGTTTAAGATTATGGCCCAAATTATTAGTCATGATCACATGCTTTTTATAAAGAAAAATAACATTAATTGTTCCACAGATTGTCTATAAAAATAAACTATAAAGAATATAACAAAACAGTATCTAAGAAGTAATCATCCAAAGTATGCGCACTAATTTTTCTTAAGAACCAAACACTATTTTTAAATTACAGCTTCTAAACAGTTGTATGACTTTTCATCTGTTCTATTTATTATTTTTTTTATGGTGTCAGACATTGTGTGAGCTGATTCGGACAAGAACAACCTTGTGGGAGGGGTAAAATCTTGTGATTTTTACTTTACCTAAAACTGTTCTTTTCCCATGCAGATTTTTTTGCGATGGTTATTTGGGAAGTCGCAGAAGACGGTGGCTCATCAGTTTGCTTAACAGGTAATATAAAGTAAATTGATATTGATATTGATTTTTAGCTTCCTGTGTTAGGTGGAGTTGTTGTACATGGTAGAAAGCCCATCCTTCAGATTATTTTCTATTTCTTTTTTAAATTGAGTGCTGGAGGGGTAAGTTTGAATATAGGATTTCTTGTTCAAGGTTTGTTAAACTTTGAGCAACAATAAATATAGATATATATCTTTTAAAGGAAGTGGTAATATATAATTAAAGCAAACAGTGACGGGTAACTTAAAATTGAAAAAAAAAATCAAATGATGGCATCTCATATATTTTATTGTCTATTGATCATTCATTCATTCATTCATTTTCTTTATTGGTGGTAATAACTTTTGACTATGAGATTCGTGTTGAAGGGTTCTTTTTTCTTAGTAAATATTGTGAACGTTATGTCATTATTGTCCATACCTCTTTCTTTTGAAAATAATTTAGTTTTCTCTCACCATTTCTCATTAGTATTTTATTCCTATTTTTAATTTAATGTTTTTTTATAAGGCAGTAAAGGAAAACATATAAATAAAGGTAATATTAGTGGTCGTGAAAATGTGAAAGAAAATTCAGAAGTAGAATACCAACTAAAATTTTCAAAATTTGAATACTGAGTGTTTGTCTAGAGAATTTTCTAAGATTATACTTGTGGACTTCAAATATTGGACTCTCTACTGTTCTCTCCTGCCCACTCCTCTCAATCTTCATTATATTTTGAATGATATTGTATTGAGAAATTGCATTCTATTTTATTCTTAGCGAACTCAAATTATTGCCACGGCAAGCATTATAGTTGTGTGTATGTATATAAGTCAGCTATTTTATTCTTCAAATAATACATGGTGGAAAATAGAATAAGATCTGGTTGTTCCCAAGCAATAAAATCTGGCTACATGGAACATACTCTAATGAATCCTTTTCTCTTTCCTTTTCCAGATTTTATCTCAGCTCTGCGTTCGCAACCGGTTCGCAGTGATTTTGTTTGGCCGTCTGTCAGTAGTGGTAACCAATTTTTTTCGTGCAAATTTTATTGTTGCATTTCTTCAGGGGAATTATAAAGGTGTTCCAGCCTCTAGGAACCCCCGGTGGAGAGTTATAGCCTCCAGTGGGTTAGAAAATTAATCTTTAAAAGGGATTAAAATAACCTCTTCTCCATTTTTCTTCTATAAATCTTTTCATCGCATAAAAAAATGTGGCAGTTAATAATAAAAATAGAAAGCAGTTAATTTAACTTGATTGAAATGTGCTATGTTTTAAAATTAATATGGGTAGTTAAGCATTTTCTGGAGGGCAACCGCAAGTCATATTTAATAATAAAAGTAGAATAGCCGTTAATTTAAAAAATTATTCGACGAATAAAGAAATAGAAAATGAGAATAGTAATTTATTATTTTTATTTATTTATTATGTATTTAAATTAATTGTTCATATGTAATCAATTATTAATTTTTCCTATTATAACTAGAGTGAAATATGCTAATTTTTTAAAATTAATATCCAAAATAATGAAAGGATATCGTTAATGGGTGACAAGTTATATATGCGAATATAGCAATAACTTTTTAGTTTTGGAAATATCTCAAAATTTTTAAAATTAGATTTTTCTTTTCTTTTTGTTATTTTGATTTTAGGTATATCGATTATGTAACTAATATATTAAATATAAAGTATATCACTGATATAATTGATATACTTAATATGAAATATAACAATCATACCAAATATATATCTTATATAATAAAAATATACTTCATTTTAGGTATATCATAGATACACTTCATTTCAAGTTTGACCTGCTTCATTTTAAATATATCACAAATTTTTCAAAATATTATATCATTGATACAACTAATATATTTGCTCCATTTTAAATATATCATTTTTTAAATATTATATAATTGATAATTGATATACTTTAACGTTACATAAAATCAAAATCATTTTAGCTATATCAGGTGTATAAGTGGATTTTTCTCGTAACTAAATTTTTGGACTGGCCCTCCATCTTTTTTGGTGTATATTTGCAAATCAAAATATTGCAGTCCTTATATTTTCGATTAACTTTTATTTTTTTTGCTGCAGTTATCTGAAAACACAATAACAAATAATAAACTGTTAACTTTTATTTTTATTTTTATTTTTTATTTTATTTTATTTTTTCTCATAATTAACTTTTTTTTTTAATAATATTGCAGTTAAGTTTTATTTTTTTGGTCTGTACTTTATGTGATTTTGTTTATCCAAAGAATAAACTGTTGTGAAGTGTGATTCGTATTTCCACGCAAGATTTGGACGGCAAAGGGCACAAATGACCTCTACCGTTTGGCACACCCAGCCCACGCCCAGCATCTGTATTCTAGAAATACAGACGGGCTTTGGAACTTTTTTTTCCTTTTTTTTATTTTAAAATATGATCATATGTGGAAGTGTAGATTTAAATTCAGACATTTTGGTCGAAATTAGGTTCTGTCAGAGATATACATCATTTGGTTAAGCTCAGATTGACCGACTTATTCTTAGAGAACTAGAAGTTAGAGCTGAGGTCAAATTACCTTTTGAACTTAATGCTCTGACCAAAAAAAGAGTGAACTTAAAAATGTGTTTGACACCAGTCAGCCTTTGAAATTAGAACCGATGTCAAATTACAATATGAACTTCTTGCTCTGACCTGAAAAAAGTAAACTGAAAAATGTGCTGACACCAGTCGGATTCTATGGCCAACCTGCTTCCGATCTTAGTTTATCGTGATATATTGACCAACCCAACAATTCTTTTTGATAAAGTTCGAAATATTTGTTGTTCCCCTACCTCTTTTTTCTATCATTTGCCATGAGTCCTCCCACCAACCCACCCAGGGAAACCCAGGAAAATTGAAATTTGACACGATCAACATAGGTTTCCATTCTAGAGGAGAGAAAAATTAGCCGCTATGAGACAATTCAGTCTCTACTGTAAATCATTCAACTTCTTTGATAATTTGGCCATTCCCTTTCGTGTTAACTCTTCTAAATTTGAGCAATTGCTATTTTCTTTTTCCTAGTTCCTGTTGAAATCACACATGGTTCGCATTCTTCCACATCCTTTCGACATTTTGGGCTGCGTTACCATTTAGACTTTTTGAGTGCCGACGCTTATGTTGGCTCATCATCGTTTCGACGACTCTCCTAATTGATGTAAGGGCTTCAAAAAATCTTTCTCGAGTATTGACAATTTTGTTGCGTTGAGTTGTGTTGTACAGCCATGTCTTCGTAGCAACATTTTTTGGCCGTGTCAATTGTCGTCAAGAAGCTCTTCGGTGTTTCAGGGGCGATTAAGGGTTGAAGAAAGGGATGTAATAAGTGGTTTGTGTGTAGATGAATGAAACTGTACATTGCAATGACTTCTTGTTGCTTTGCAATCCTGAATTGCTGTAAAGGAAATAGCAGCTCCGAGGAACCGGCCGAAGGTGAGAATCAGGTAACTTTATTTTTCTTTTGTAGATTCTAGGGCAAGAATATAATTATATGGTTATTCTTCAAATGGGTTTTCATAAATTCTGATACTTTGGTGACGCAAAAAAGGTTTCTCTAGATAAGTAATTACTTGGACAATTTGTTCCTTGTCAAAAAGAACGGATGGTTTGTGTCGAATAACGTCTGAACTGGTTTACTGATGGATTGACTCGAAATGGCAAATCTGGTGATGGTTGATAATGGATATCTTGGCATGCTCCCTATTCCTTTCATATCTCTTACCGTAGAAATCTGAGCCGAGTGAATCTCAAATTGAAATGATTTTTGCCTTGTACTTGGTTAGGAATTGCTGTTACCAACAATGTACGCATCTTTTCTTATAATTCATTGAGGTCAGCAACTGGTAATTTTCATCCATCAAGCAGAATAGGTGCTGGAGGTTATGGAGTTGTCTACAAAGTGAGACCAATGATAATCTTATTTTTATGGTTCTCTCCTGTAATTTCTTCCCTGTAGGTATCATTCCCATATAAATTCTGATGCCTTTTTGTAATCTGTCATTGATTTTTGTGACGACAGGGAGTTTTAAGGGATGGTACCCATGTTGCAGTCAAATCATTGTCTGCAGAATCAGCACAGGGAACTCGTGAATTTTTGACCGAGATAAATATGATATCGAATATACGACATCATAATCTCGTTGAACTGATTGGTTGTTGCATTGAAGGCAGTCATCGAATTTTGGTATATGAATACCTGGAGAACAACAGCCTTGCGAGTACTTTGCTTGGTAAGTTTTACAGAGCATTCAAGTTTGTTTTTTAATATATATCCTAGGTCAGTATAAATTTGTATCATGTTATATCTCTGAAAGTTTTTACTCTAGTTATACATCTTGTTTAAATCTGAAATTTCAGTGGATAACATGTGTTTCTTAATTAGCGTGTAAACAAATACTTGCTGTCTTATCTGTCTAGATGATGAAATTATCATCAGTGTATGATTATCAAAAGCAACTATTCATTCAGGTACAAAGAGTAAGCATGTGATTCTGGATTGGCCAAAGAGAGCTCAGATTTGTCTCGGTACAGCTCTTGGTCTTGCATTTCTACATGAAGAAGCTGAACTGTCCGTTGTGCATAGAGATATCAAGGCTAGCAATATACTTCTTGACAGAAACTTTCATCCTAAAATAGGTGACTTTGGGTTGGCTAAACTTTTCCCAGACAATGTTACTCATGTTAGTACTCGAGTTGCTGGAACTATGTAAGCACTCTATTTCAATTCTCTTGATCTTTGTCTTCTTAAGTATGCTGAGAGACACTTGTTTCCATCGTCTCTTTCATTATTTTTAGCAGAGTGTACAAAGTTTATCTTCTTTACTAATTGATTAGCTGCTTCATATTTGTAGTAACCTGTTGTCATAGATGGATAAGAAAGGAAATGTTGATCGCCACTAAAGGGCATTCTTTCTAGGCCATTAACATTTCTCTTTCTCTTTAAGAGTCGAGGAGATAGTCTTGAGTTTTCCCAATTTTTAACAGTTAATCAGCATTAGCTTTATTGCTTATGCTGTCTATTCAAAAACCAAAACTGACAAATATCTTCATTGGACCAATGAGTTTACTGAGTTTAAAATTGGTGCTGGGTGAAGTTGGGTGGTATATGAGTAGGTGCTTTGCATTCATAAGCTCAGGTAGTCATCCCAGTTTAATTTGCGATCATTAGTTTTGATTCTTCAGTCATCCATGCACCATTGAAATGAAAAAAAATACTAATTTCTTGATCTTTTTTGCATGATATTATGTTCCTCTTTAAACATTTTCCAACTATTTCATGTGCCTGCAGTGGATATTTGGCTCCTGAGTATGCACTTTTAGGACAGTTGACGAAGAAAGCAGATGTATACAGTTTTGGTGTGCTCATGCTGGAAGTAATTAGTGGAAGTAGCAGCAGTAAAACAGCATTTGGAGAAGAGTTATTGATTCTCGTGGAATGGGTACATTTCCAAAATTTTTTATCAAGAACTTACTGCTCATTCATTCATGGAATTGAATGTGACTTTGTTTCTACAAGTACTATTTAATAGTCACCAATGCTTGTAATTAATAAGATATGGATACTACATAAAGCCAAAGGATATGTGATTCTAATGTGTAGGATCAGAGTCAGGTAAACTAGACGAAGCTCATAAGATCTCATTTTTTGGCATCATCATTCATACATTTCATTTCATGTGTGAAATGGGTTTGAGATGTGGATTTATAATCATTTTCCATACAATATATTTTAGTATGATAAATTTGGTTTGTGCCACTCGTAGACTTGGAAATTAAAAGAGGAAGGACGGGTTGCAGAACTCATTGATCCGGAACTGATCGATTATCCGAAGGCCGAGGTGATGCGTTTCATCATAGTTGCACTGTTCTGTACCCAAGCAGCTGCAAATCAAAGACCAACCATGAAGCAGGTTGTGGAGATGCTTTCAAGAGAAGTACATCTGAACGAAAAACTATTGACAAAGCCAGGAGTATACAAAGGACACAGAAGTAGGAAGTTGAATGGTGCTGCTATTAGTTCAGAGGGAACATCCTCCTCCCATACAGATAAAGGTAAGCAAGCTATGAAGTCATCACTCCAATTTAATAGCGTAAATAGTTTGACTCAGATGCTTCCTAGGTGATACATAATCCCTGTTTCTAGTCCCCTTGTAATGTTTTAGTTCCAATCCTCTAGTTTGTTTTCCAAACTTGCTTGTGAGAAATCACTAAATTCCTGGTTTCTTTACCTTCACCAAAAATATTTAAATCACTAAATTCTCTGTGTAATGTGTATATGACATCTTTTAAATATTTTCATGCCTAAAGGCAATTCTTTCCTCTGTTCCCATACAACATTTTCAGCGGATGAAGAAAACTTGTGCCTCTAGTCCTATCTTGTTTTGCTTTTGTAAGCTCAACAGGGGCAGAAAGCATGGAGGCTTATTAGACCGTGGAGAATGGGCATTTTCAGGATTCATTTGGTAATGTTTTCGTTCATAGAAAGATTTCCAAAATTATTTAGGAAGTTTGGGGGAAAAGAAAAACAAGTTTCTTGTTTGTGATTCTCATTTCTAACAAAATCAAGTTTCTTTATTTTTTCAATAATAAGAAATGAAGATCAAGAAATAGTTATCAAATGAAATTATATTTTCCTTTATTAAAAAAAAACATGAAACAAGAAATAGAACATACCATAATTGTTCAGAAATTAAGGTTCCAAGTTGGTTCAGTTCGATCTTTAGTCCAAACAGCCAAATCGATTGGTTTGGTTCTATTTGTAAAGAGGATTGAACAAACAAACAATTAGGAATTGAGCCGGCTCGATTGGATTCTGTTCTTATTGATTACTTTTGTCGGTTCTGTGAGAGAGGAGGGTGGAAAATAGGTTTAAATGGTGGAAATTTTTTTATTACGGTAGTACTCATTCCTTCCATTCATAGTTTTGACACATTATTTGGTGATTATTTTTCTTAATATCACAAACAATGAACCGGAGTGATGTTATTAAGGTTTGTGTAGGAACCCATCCAAACCGACGAACTGACTGGTTCGGTTTGATTTCTTGAAGATCACAGTTTTTCAGATTGCTCTTTAAAAAACGACAAGTTCGGTTTGATTTTCACTCATTAATAAATCTTTAAATATCAAACATTAATAAATCTATAAGAATCGAGCCGATTCAATCCTAACATAAAACATGAAAATTACCCTACTCACACCCTTCCTAACTGTTCTCTTGCCCTCAAGCCCAGCCCCCTATAAGTTTCTAACCCTAAACCATATTTTTCTCCTTTTCTTCCCTTTTCAAATCTCTCTTTTCTCATCTCTCTCCAGCCAGCTCAATTTACTTTCCTTCATTTTAGTTCTACTTCGTTTTTCCCACTTCCGGTCGAGATCCAACATTCGCTCTCTTAGATATCCAATATATGAATTAAGTTTACCCAATCTATCAGTTTAAGCTTTTGGGTTGAGTAGTGGTTTCGATAATCACCAACGGAGAGATCTAATTTGAACTAAAATTATTTTGCCAAAAAAGAAAGAAAAAGTAGTTAAACCGAACCGAACCAGCAAGAACCAAAACAGACTGATTCGATATTTACCTGTTTAGAATGACTCAGAACTGAAGGGTTCTGTTCAGTCCGGTTCGACCAAAACCAGTGTCCGAATCAAACTACGCACAGTCCTCAAATATTTAACACGAAGAATTGAACCAAACCAACTCAATTTGAGTTAATTTAGTTTGATTCAATTTTTCACTCCCAGAAAGGATAAAGTTATAAACTCATCATTCAATTGACAAATCAGTTAACCCTGCAGATGTCATCCAAATTATCTGGAAAAAAAATGGTAATAATAAATACACGCCCAGACTCGTTGGCGTCGAATCGATTATCGAGGTAATGGTAGAATTAATAGGGAAACCTGCATTTAATTTGGTGTTGGATATGGAGAATTTGAGAAAGCCCATCACAATTCAAATATCAAAGCATCAACAGTTGACTTGTAGTCTCCTAGTAGAGCATGTGATGGACATCGTTTTGTGTTAGATCTACCTTGAAGTGAACAAAACAACATATAATTATTTACTACGCCAACCAACCCCAACGACCTGTGGCGTACGCTATATGTCAGCCTTTAATTATCAACTTTTCAACCATCCTCAAATGCGCCCTTCACACTAACGTGTCCTCAGAACATGTCTCATAAATAAATATTCATGCAATAAAGTAGAACAACTGTGACCCTAAATATTATTCTTTATTTCTAGAATATTGTAAACTATGAACTTGATCATGTTGCGTCTAATGCAGTTTCTAAATTCTAATGCAGCATGAAGGTAGAAATGATGGGGTTGATGATAGAATACGTCTGTCTGGCCTTGAAAACAGCACAATACATATATGTATATATAACAAGAGTTCTTGACAATGCAGGCAAATAAAGAACGTTTTAATTTGTATAAATTAAACATATACAATCCAAACGACTAAAAAGGCACAAATTACCAGAATCTTTCTTATAGTGCAGTTCAGATTCCGCTCCGCAGCTCAAAATTATTTACGCCCCTGTCAGAAATGATACAAATAGACATTCAGATTCAGAATGATTCATGAAATTTATCTCCGTTCAGAAATAATCAAATTAAAACAAATGCAGTACCTGAATTATCTTACCTGAGTAGCATACAATATAGTGAAGTTGGATCATATGTATTATGTACAATTTCTCCCAACCGCAGCCTGCATCCACCCAAAATTTCTTTGGGAGCAACATAGTACAGAGCCCAATATGAAATCCGGAAATCTTTTCCAGTGTTTCAATAAAGCTGATGCTAAAGAAATTTTAAATTGGCTAACAACTTCATTAGGGTTTTATGACCCCATGTCATGTCATTTTTAAGGATATCATTGTTGATTTCCTGCAAGTCGGAACGATTCTCAATTTTATTTTTGTCATCCTTTTGTCTAATTTCACTTTGGAGGCCGTCTTCTTTGTCATCTTCTTCATAGTCTTCTCCATAACTTAACTTCGCCTCGATCTCTTCTTCAGCCACAAGATAAGGGGTCTGTTTATGATTCATCTGTACGTTCTGAGATCAATACAAATGCAATACACTGAGGAATAAGAACATTATATAACACAGTATAACAGTATATGTGGTTGAATGAAGCATAGCATAACTATTGCAGGGAAGCAATTTCTGTGTAGACATGATGGTTGAAGTACAACACATTTCTCCGGATGAACTGATGCTTGTGCATATTTAGAGAATTGTAGTCTCGTGCTTCTGAAGTACCATCATAGTTGTTATCAAATATTACAAGGTGGCAGGTTCATTTGCAGTTAATGATAGTTATAGTAGGTAATGTGGTTGTATAATTTAAATCATGGCATTAGGAGAGAAATCACAGTTATGTTTCTTCATATAGAGAGAAGAAAACATGATTCTGCAGATATATAAAAGGTTACGTCAACATTTGATGACATGGAGAATGTTTGGTTCTGTGAAAGATTGGACTGCTTGTGATAAGAAATTGGAAGTAAAATGAAATTAAGATATAGAAATTGAAACTATAAGCCATAAAACTATGACAGCAATAGGCAGGGCTTAGTATCAGAAATTATACAAGATAACTTGGTTGGCCAATATTAAATTTCTTCTTATGCATAGATCGATTCGAAAAACATTCAAACTATCAAAATTCAAAGTTACGTCCTTTGTAGTAAGGATTTCTTAGAACAGTACAAGAAAAGGCGCACACAAATTGCAAGGACAATTTTTTTGGTAACAGGAATTGAAGCAGGAAAGACATGGTAAAAATAGGCCAGGCCATCAAGCTGTTACCTCAGGTAGTTCATGACCGTTAGATTCATTAATTCCATTGATGGAAACATCAGATTCGACTTCATGTTGAGGTGCTGCCTCATTTGATGTTGTTGGAGTTGGAGGTAAACCAGGAACTAGAATGGGAACTCTGCAGTTAATCGAGCTTTCTTGAACATCTGCATTCCCAAGGATCTTAACCGTTGCTCCTTTCTCATGACTCTCCGCAATTCCCTCTGTTATCTTTGTATCACTCTGGCATGTAAATGTTGACTCCCCATTTGAATTGCTGTATACTTCGCTGACGACCTTGTTACTTGAATTGAGAATGAAGCTCTCCTTCTGGTAGCTTATATTCTCTGCCACGATATTTTTGGCAGCAGAAATGTCACTAGCGTTCTCCTCTGGAAGTGAGATGTTACCAGCATCCTCATCTAATGCTGAGATATCACTACCATTTTCTTTTGAAGCTGAGATGATGCTGAAATCAATCAATTCTTCATGTGATTCCACTGATGATTTTTCTGCAATAGAAGTATCACCAAGAGCAACTGACGGTTCCTTATTTGTATTGTGGATCAGTCCTTCGTTTGGATCCACAATCATTAAATTTTCTGAGACAATAGGCGAATCCTCATTCTGGTTAACAACCTTTTCTTCTTCAGTTAGCGTCAGTGATTCAGTGCTATCCCAATCTTCAGAAACGACGATTGTATTAGTTGTTTCCCAGGGTTGAAATGTTCGATCAGGACCAGGTTGCCATACGACATTTCCAGTTTTTCCTTGAAGTACGAATTTGAACTGGATTGTTTTTCCAACAGGAATTTCCTAATTTGACAAAAATACATCATGACAAGATATCAGAATCGTCAATGAAGCTTATTTCTTCATATTGAGATTTTTATGCTCTTCGTGAATCTCTCTACTCACCACTTCTGCTGCCCATTGATGCCCATCTGCCCAGTTTAAAGGTATTGCACTTGTAACTTCCCAGGAGCCAATAACTGGATCGTCACCAACTACAAGGAATTGCTCCCCAAATGTGCACTCTTTTTGTAGCTGGAATTTGACACGAACTGTTTTCACTTGATCTGCATAAAAGGTGCCGGTATGAAAATGCTCAGGCTATTTTCAGAGGGAATAATTATTTATCAATCAAATTGACTTACTCGTGTCTTGATTCTCAACTGCATCATTCTGAGTATCTACCTGCAAAGAACAAGTTCTACCAAAATCAGAATGATCTTCTTAGCGTAATCCTTGCAACAATTTTTACCACAATCATTATTTTCTAGATTTTCTGGCATTAATTATCTCTTTCTTGACGCATCCGACGATACTTCGTTAGCCATCTTAGCTTCCGAAGTTTCTCTTATTCTTGCTCTGATCTAACTTAAACCTTTTCTCGCTCAAGGAAGGTTAACATGAAGAAACGATTCCTTTATTCAGTGAAAAAACTGATTTAATGTCGACATATACAAAGTAATTAAAAGAACAAGAACTTCGTTCAAAAACACAAGACGAAGGCGTAGCACTGCCTTCGTCTGTCAAAGACTTCCGTATTAGCAGAAATCGCAACTCATAAGGCGCCTTCTGAGACACAGTAGCTCAGTTTCCAAAGCTTAACTCTCGATCATTCATTCAAAGTCCACGAATAAGCAAAAACCGTGAAGAAAGTTCGCAAAGTTCAACTCTCGATCACTCACTCATTCAGAGTCCATAAATCAGCGAAAGAAAAAGGTGAAGTAACTAACACATTCCTCATTGAGTAATCCAAGATTCTTTATAAAAAAGAAAAGGAAAACAAGTGAAACCGTAGAACAATCAGGAAGCAAGAATTTCCGACCTGGTTATGAGAAGAGAGAGAGGTAAAGAACTGGATGCCTCCGCGGCGCAAAGATGGCAAATGCTGAAGTCCAGAAGAAGCAAATTTCGTAGGCGTCCGATAAGAGATGAATTCAGGTCCTCCACAAAGAAGACGCTCTCTCAGAGAACGAGAAGAAGCAGAGAAACGAGGAGGAGCTGTGTTGTTGGCGATAATGGAGTTGGAGGTCGCTAGGGTTTCCATCACTCTCAGAATCTCACTCTGATTCTGCTACTGACAGAGACTCTCAAAGGCCAAAGCTTCGGACTCGCGCCTTAATGGAGTTCTGGTGGTTACCATTATATAACGGTGGGACCCCGCCAGGATGAGGAACGGAAAACGATTTTTCACGTGCATCCAAGAACTGACACGTGCCTCACTGATGGCTGTAGCTTCACTAGGAAAATAGGAATAAATCCATGAATCTCATGGTACCCATTTCATTTCTTTTTTCTTCTGATTTTAACGATCCTCACGAAGAGGGATCGTAAAATAAATGGTGATAAGTGTTTTATTTTTTAGTTATATTTAAATTGATTACTCATTTTTGTTTTTGAAATAAACGCAAATAACAGATTAAACAAACGAAACATCAAAAAGGCAACGAATCTTAAAAGTCACGTAGGGTCAGAGTGTTCTTCAGACAAAATCACGAGCAACACCATTTACACTCTTTAAAATATGACGATAAACCTCAATAGCAGCAGTTTCGACCTCCTTTCTTGATGTCGTCAATGATCAACTTTGTTTATGTGATATTATTAGTTAATAGTTTACTAGAAATCGAACAACAAATTTGTTCTTGAACTTTTGGCTAGTCTTCTTRAAGAGACTTGATATAGTAACTTATAACAGGATAAGATATTATATTTTACATGTTTTAATTAATAACATGAAATAGTATATTTATAAAAAAAAATTAATGTAATTTAAAATTCAAAATATAAAAAATATTGAAAACACGATAAATGTTAGTTTCAAAATTTCTACTATTTAAATTACAGAATTCGAAAATAGTTTTCAAAATCAAATTTGCCAAATAAATATTTACTGAATCTATTTAATTCAGTAAATTTGAAAACAAGAATGGTATTCTCTCTATCTCCCATCACGTTATCTTTTTTGTCTAATTTTTTCCTATTTTCCAGCCCCCACAGCTCCCTACCTATCTCTCATGATTAGAGTACCTGAATTTAATTATAGAAATATTGTGCAATCCTGTTTGAAAAGAGGTACAGTAAATTAAATTAAAGGAGATCGAAATATTGCAAGGTCCATGTTAGATAGCAAAACAATATAATATTTTGTCTCAGTTTAATTATCTTACGAAGTATTAAAATGACAATAAAATCAACAAGGTAGAAAGAGGGACAAAATGTCACTTATCTCCATAGGAGCCTAAACGAAGATTCTCCGTCCTATGTAAGTCTGGTCCGTGCAAAGAAAATGAACATCCTTTACATACAGCCAATACAGTCGCATGCCTCTTAAGCTTGGAGAAACAACTATCTGTTGAACCTTTAGTTTGCCTTCTTAAACTTAAGATATGAGCTTCTAATTGCTTGTAATTTGTTAACAACATCCATGGATGTCCTCTCTCTTGGTATCAGTGAGGAGCAAGACAAGCTAATTTTCATTACGGAGATGAGACATTCTTCCATCCATATTGGTACGACTTTTCTACGATCTTCCTCATCCATGATCGTTGTTTCTTGTGTTTTGTCTTCATTTTCTTCCTTGTGTGGTCGTATTTCTTCATACAGTAGAGAAGGGTCGACTATGTCCAAGGCACTTTGAGGCAATGCCATTGTAGTGAACGCACGAATACCCATGTCATCGTCAAATATTTTGTCAGTAGGTCTTTTCCCAATCATCATTTCCAACAACAATATACCATAGCTAAAGATATCCCCTTCCATAGAAATTTTGCTACTAGTACCATATTCTACAAATGATCACGCACACAATATACAAAAAAGAAAAAGATCAATATCTAACGATTGCTATTAAAAGATGGCACAATTTAGATGAAAGGAAAATACCTGGTGGGATATATCCAGTCGAACCTTTGAGCGCAAGTGACATGGTCTCATTGAACGATAACTGATTTACTTCTTCCAATATGATTCTAGCTAACCCAAAATCTCCAACGTAGGCTACCATATCGTTGTCAAGCAACACATTGCTAGGCTTTAGATCACAATGCACAATAGGTGTTTCACAATGATTATGGAGATAATCTAATGCATTAACAATATCAATAGCAATATCCAATCTTTAATAAAACTCAACCTTCTTTGATTATGCCCATCATTTGCAGTGTGAAGCCAACAATCCAAGTTTCCGTTGGACATGAAAGGAAAGACTAAAGCTTTGAATTCATTTCCTTGTACAGCAATACTTGAGCAAGAAGCAATGACCTTGAGGAGATTCCGACGTCGTACTTTTATGAGAACTTTGCATTCATCAACAAAACTTTTGGAAGCACCCTGTTGTTGAAGGTTCATAACTTTAATGGCAACAATTGATCCATCACTTGAAAGAATACCTTTATACACATAACCAAAACTACCTGAACCAATCAAATTATCCCTAGAGAACCCGTCAGTCGATTTACTAAGTTCTAAATAAGAAATTTGTGGTTCAAAATCCTTAGGTGAAGATGAAGTTGAAAAATTCTTCTTCATCTTCTTAATCACAAAACACACGAAAATGATGCTAAGAAGAATAACGATGCATGTAACCGTCGATACTAYAGGGATTAACACATTTGGTGCTCGAAACTTGTTGGATGAATGTGTTCGGTCAGATGTGCATGGAGGTAAACGTAATTCTCGCAAACCGTCACATAGATTTTTGTTTCCAATGATGGAAAACATGCTTGAATTGGAAAAAATCGCCTCTGTAGGCACTTTTCCCTCAAAATTATTATAGGATAGATTAAGATGCTTGAGGGAGAGAAACTTGCCAAAAAATTGAGGAATTGGCCCTTGACAAGTTGTTGCTTGAAAGATCTAGTACTTCCAAACCTCTCAAAGCTTCCAAAGACGAAGGAATTGTTCCCTCAAATCGATTACCATCCAAATCCAACCAAATTGTGCCAATACATTTACCAAGGCTATTTGGAATATCACCGGATAACATGTTCTTTGATACATCCAACACTGATAAACTAACTAGCTGGCCTACTTCATCATGCAATGGACCAGTAAGTGAGTTATGAGCCAAGGTCAAAATTATCGAAAGGGAAGACAGACCAAAAACTTCTTTGGGTATGGTGCCGCTGAGATTGTTATTAGAAAGGACAAGAGCTTGGAGGCCTTTGCATTGTCCTAAACTCGGCAGTATACTTCCATCAAGTTCGTTATCGTTCATGCGAAGCTCGATGATAAACGATAAGTTACCAATGGAGGATAATTGGGCCGGTTAGTTTGTTGCCCTGCAAAGTCAACCTTACCAAGTTCCCAAGCTTACCGATATTTGGGAGTACACTACCATTCATATGGTTATTTTCCAATCCAAGATTTTCCAAGTTAATCAAGTTTTCAATCCCAACAGGCATGCCTCCACTAAACATATTATCACCTAAGATTAGTCGTGTCAGCTGGTTGGTAAGGTTTCCAATAGATGGAGGCAATGTTCCTCCAAAATGATTCCCAGCAAGACTTAAAACGCTTAGGCTACTACAATTAGCCAAGAAACTGATAAAGTTTAAGTCACCCACTTTCCCACGTCCAAGTTTGTTGTCTTCAAAATTGAGTTTCACCAAGTGTTTTAAGCTCCCCAAGCCATCAGGTAGCGTTCCAGTGAGACTGTTCTCAGCAAAATCTAAGAACTGAAGACTGGACATGTTAGCCAAGGACGTCGGGATAGGCCCTCTAAAATTATTGACACCACCGACAAAGCCTCGAAGATTTGGAAGAGTAAATCCAACATTTGCTGGCAGAGTTCCTTGTAATTGATTTTGTGTGAGAGAAAGGTAAATCAAAGAAGTTATATTATAAATCGAAGCTGGCACCGTACCTGTCAAATAGTTCCAATAAACTGCAAAGTATTCCAATCTAGATAAACGTCCTAGTTCACTAGGAATGTTTCCTTGAAGATTGTTCTGTGCAAATGACATATGAAGTATGGAAGAAAAATTTCCTACCCAAGGTGGGATAGTTCCAGTGAGATTGTTTTTGTCAAACTTGAGCCGTTCCAATTTGGTCAACGTTAACAACTGGTTTGGAACATGACCTACGAGTCGATTCATATTTAACTCCAGAACAACAAGCTCAATACAATGACTTATATTCGTTGGAATCTCACCTTCGAAGTTATTGAAGGATAAATTGAGATGACGCAAAAGTAGTAACTGACCGAGCTCTTGAGGAATTCGGCCATGAAAGTTGTTGTGTCCCAGTCTGATCTCAGCGAGATGAGTAAGGTTTCCCAAAGAAGGTGGTATTGAACCAGTCAGTTCCCGAGCTTCCAAGTCCAAAACCAGCACTCTTCTGGTGGTGGTATTGCAAGTAACACCAAACCCAATCACAGAAATGTGAAGAATGGTTCCAAGAGCTCATGATTCGAAGTGGGTCGTTCAGTGTTCTACCTTTCAAGTCAAGTGGAGCTAAACGATCTGATTCATCTCCAAACGCCAAGCTGACCATGGACATCAGAAAGATATCATATAAAAGTATGCACAGAATCCTCTTGTTATTGCAGCAATGGTGCCTCATTCTTCTGGGAAATGCCGGATTTGTAATGGAAAGTTATCTAATCTATCAGTTTTCTTGGAAGGCAGTAGCTTTTTGGTTCAAATTTTGTTATTATCATTAAATGGCTGTTATGGTGGTAGATGGATCTGAGGAGAGTAAATGAACCAAACATCTTAGCTTGACCCCACCCCACTAAATACTTTTATGGATATCATTATTTCTCAAAATTAATAAAAGAAGAGAGAGTTTAAAATTTACTTACTTTTATGGTGATTTTGATGACATTTAAGTTTTCATCAAAGTTTAGGTTAGATTAGAATTTTAGTTTTTAATTTTTTATCCATGAATTTTAATAAGTGCCTAATAAATTTATGAACCAAAAACAAAACCAAGCTAATGGATCAGGATGCAATTGGCTCAGTTAATTTGTTCCCTTGCAATAACAAAATATCCAACTTCTGAAGCTTACCAAAATTATTCATATTTTTATATTCCAATCCAAGAACTTGCAAGCTCATATCCCATTAGATAAATATTAGCAACACTAATTCTTCATGTGAGTAGATAATTCAAATATGTTGACCTTAGACCCCACTACATGAATTCTAATTGGATGTAAACTTTGATTTGAAGGCCCTTGAGTTTATCTCGAATAAAAAAGAAGTCGGTATCTGTTTAGTTGCTAGCGTGT